CAGCGGTCGCAGCCATGCTGCCTCTTGATCTGCGAGGAGGAAGCAGAGAGATGGAGAAGTAAGGCCAGCAGCAAGAGCCAAGACCACAGCTCCTTGGTGCGCCCAGCCCAAAGCCCCAATGCCCGAGGGACTCTCCCAGTGTCTCCCTGCATCACCCAAAACGTCACACCTCACCCACACGCCTTCAGCAGGGAGGGTTACAAAGGGCGCAGCCATGCTGCCTCTTGATCTGCGAGGAGGAAGCAGAGAGATGGAGAAGTAAGGCCAGCAGCAAGAGCCAAGACCACAGCTCCTTGGTGCGCCCAGCCCAAAGCCCCAATGCCCGAGGGACTCTCCCAGTGTCTCCCTGCATCACCCAAAACGTCACACCTCACCCACACGCCTTCAGCAGGGAGGGTTACAAAGGGGCTTTGTAACCCATCACCTTCTCCCCACGCTTTTTTGGCCTTGGTTTGCCACCAAAGGGAAATGCCAATGACAGCGAGCAACCGGCTGCAGCCCTCACTCATTTGCCTCCATCTCAGCACAGCCTTGACCTGAAACCACGGCCCCCCCGGGCTGACAGAGGCCATCGCTGCCCTGCGGAGCCCCCCGCTTCAACGCGGAGGCAGGTGTGCCCAGCGAGCCGACGGCTTCCCGGTTCCCAGACCATGCCGCCTCCCTACCACTTGTTTTTCTAACTTTGAGAATCAAAAAGGACAGAGTTTTGATACAGAATCGTGTTTTTGAAGGCTGGAAAAACATAGTTTCAATTATTTTGGCATGTTGTTAGTGCTGAGTGTTTGTAAGTCGTTATGTAATTAAAAGGTCACTTGAGGGAATAAAAAAAGCTGCTGGTCCTGGCTGGCAGCGGGGCCTTGGGAGGCTGAGAAAAGCCATCGCTGAGCAGGGAGGAGAGAGCAGCAGCAGGTGGCACACGAAGGAGAGAAGGCGCCCGTGGGAGCCAGGGCCACGGAGCCCACAGCTTCAATGGGATCTGCACGCCGGAGGGAGGAGAGCAGCGAAGTTACGGTGGCGGAGCCGGTCACTCAAGAGCCTCGGCAGGCACAGGCGGGCAGGGAGGGCGCAGGGCGAGCGGCCACGGCTCCTCCGATGGCACGGTGGGAACGTGGGACGAGGCCAGGCCACCCCGAGGGGCAGCTGCGAGGATGGGGGCGATTCACCTCCCCTGTGGCTTTGCTGCCTTCCTCTCTCAACAGCTTCCTTGGGAGTTTGCAATCTCCAATGCTCATTGCTTCTGCTGCCTCAAACACCGCAGAGCGATAACACCAAGGCTGGGGCTCTTCTTGCCACTGTGGCAGCAACATCAGTTTCTTTTTAAAGGTTTAATACGGCGAAGGCAGTGAAAGAGACTCCTAAATCCTCACAGTTTGCTACATCTTTTGTTCTGGACTAGAAAGACATTTTGCCCTCGACATTTCCTTTGGCACATTCCCCAGTCACCCCCATCCAGCCATCGCTGTATGGCTCAATAGCTTGATAATATTTGCCTAGACAAGGTGCCAGGGAGAACTTGTCTGAGCTCGAACGCTCTTTATTACTGCTGCTGACAATGTCCTGACTTCAAATGGGGAATTACAGCCGTCTGAGGAGTACGGATGCTTGGGGTTTACTCAGGGCGTCTCTGAAGCGCAGCCCTGGCACAGGCAAGCAGATGGGAAGCCAGCGCTGTGGTATTTAGAGATGCTTGGACAGCAGGAGCGATGGGAAGCGCTGGCAGAGGACGAGTAGCATGATGAAGATACAAAGTCCCGGATGGCATATAACAGATCGTGCCAGCCAAAAATTAACTGTTGTCTAAGCACAGCAAGTAGCTTTTTGCCTGCTCACAGGGACCGGGTACAAACGGCATCCCAGGACTGTGGCAGAGCGCTGGTCTCTGGCTCCGAGCAGGTGAAGCGAAGCTCTGGCACATGCGGAGCTGCTGTTTAACGACCCCACGCTCCTGCCCAGGGAGCTGCAGGAAATCCAGGGTTGGGCGAGGAACTACACGGATGGGGGAACGTAGGTGTGGATTTTGTTTCAAAGAGGGGCAAACTCCACGGTCCACAGCCCAGCATGGCAAAGGCTCAGCAGCACCACTCGCAACAGAGGCAAGAGGCATCAGCACAGGCTGGCTGAGGGTGACAGGGCCAGCACACTCAGAAAGGGCAAACTCGACCTTGCTTGAAGCAGCATCCGCTGCCAGCACAGGCAAAAGGCACGTCTGCAGTGGGAAAATAAGGGGGTTCTTTCATTTTGAAACTCAGCGAGCAGGGACGGCGCAGGAGGCGAACACGTTGCTGCCCAATGCAAGGGCTGGTTGTCACATCTTAACGCAGCTTAAGGCTGGGAGAAAAATCCTCTAGGTAACTGAGATGCAGTCAACGCTCGCATAAAACCAGAGGTGAAGGCCCTCAGCTCCCCCTGCACCCCTCGGCTGTCCTGCACGGCACGGACCAAGACAGACATCTCCTCCCTGGGAACGCGAAGCCTTTTGCCAAACAGAGAGCCGCTAAGAAACCAAGCGATCGGGCCCTGGGCCAAGTCACCAAGGAGCCTGCTTCCCAAAGGCAGGCAGCTCGCCCCTTGCCAGCACAGGCTCCATGGCTCCTCGAGACATCACGGAGGCTCTTTCACAGCCCGGCTGCGACCAAGCACATAAATCCCCAGAGAGAGTCAGGTCAGAGTCCCAGGCGCCTGGGATGGCATCGCATGGAAATTACTCGCCCTGTTCCTTAGCGAAGGGCATCCATTCCCTTGAAGCCACTTGCTGCGGCAACCTCCCAGAGACGAAAGCATCAGACGCTCGCACCCAGTGAGCTGGCCTGCGATAAAAGGACGCTTTCTTCCCAGAAAGCCGAGAGCTTGTACGGCTGGCTGAGTTCAATGGCTGCACCCTCCCTTTCAGCAGAATTAGGGCACTGTTGAGGATTAACAGCCCTGACTACAAATAAGAGCAATGCTGAGCTGGCCAGAAAGAGAGACACATACCAGGAGAGATCCCATTAACCCGAACAAATAAATAAGGATAATGACTGGGGGAGAAGCCCTGTGTCGCCGCAGTTGCAGTGTAATCCCTCCATGAGTTTCTCACTTGTACAATTTACGTCCGAGTCCAGCAGTGACAGTTTCACATCCTGAGGGTGTAACATGGTATAAACCTACTTAAAGTGTGGTGAAACCAAGCGGGTACCAAAGCACATGGCTTCACTCTCCGGCTGTTTGCCCAGGACAGAACCCAGAGTGGGACTGTCACTGCCTGCAGGGAACATTTCGGGATCTGCCCTGGGGGATACAGATCCTTCTGAGAGGCAGAAGCTCTCCTCCAGCACCCTCTCACAGATGTGCACCATGAAACCGTCTCCCGCTCTGCGTTACACACTTATTCACGACCCATGAAGAATTTGCTGAGCAGTTCACATCCAGTTTGCCCTTCTGTAAACCCCCAGCCAAGCCTCAAGCGGAACAGAACTCTCCCTTAAGGCAATTAAAGAGCACTGATTCATAAAATTCTTTTTTTTTTCTGGCCACCTCCTCTTCCTCCACTTGTCACAAGTGCAGTTTTGCATGGAAACCATCTCCCTACAGACTGGAAACAACAGCCGCCTCACCCCTTGCCTGCCTTCAACCCTGTAAAAAAGGGCAAAGCAACCAAAACTCAGTGATTTCTGGCTCAGGAACCATTTCCTTTATTATGTTCCTCAAATGAGCACAACCAGGATCATTCCTGCCCCAGGACACAAGGACCAAGCATCTCACGTCCCAACCAACTGTCTAGATACCCCGACGTCTGCCTGACGGCACTTCGAGCAGCTCTCTGAGCCCATGGCAAAAAAGTCCACAGACTTTGAGCGACAGAGCTGTAGGAAGAGAAAACTTACCAACCGCGCCAGCCCATGAGACCCCATGTCCAGCCGGAGGAAACGCCTGCTAGCAGCCAGCTGGTCCACTCACACCAGCACAATTGGTAGGTTTGCTCAGAGGTGGCTCCTTTGCTTCCCACAAGAATTTATTTACTTTGGAAACTGTGCCACTACCTTCAATATTCTACAAGAGATATAAAGGGGAGAGATGGTTTTTTCCTTCCTAACCAGGACAAGTCCTTCTCCTCGGGGAGCTGCCAGGGAGTCCTCCGCAGGATCTACAGCTTCCAGCTCAGTGGAGGAGCCTGGGACAGAGGCAAACGCAGCCAAAATCACGCTCCCTGCAGCCCCTCCCAGCCACAACCAACGCGCCGTCCTGCAGCTTGAGCAGTGCAGGCACTTCTACGCAGCTACAAAATCCCTTTTCAGGGAGTCTGGAAAAGTTCTGTACATTTTAGACCACAATTTCAAGCCCTATCACCACGATATCCTTGTTACCATCTCACAGGCCCCTGTCTGAGAGAGTAAAGACCATCCCAGTTTACAGACAGGGCACAAGCCATCAGTCCAGGCACTCCAGTTGCAGAGGAGTCTCTGTTCCCCGAAATACCCTTCCCATCTGCCTGATGGATTTGGGGGG